AAGTTGAAAAACAAAACAACAAACGGGAGGTAGTGACCACAATGGGTGTAATAACAACATAAGCAAAGTAAAAAAAAAAATAATAAAAATAAAATAAATAAAAAGTTTTAAAGAGATTAAAAGGTCGAAAGCAATGTCCAAAAAGTGGAAGACATAATATCAGCCACAGGTCTGCAGAAGAAGTAAAATGAGAAAAATAAATGTGAAGAAATACGTACATACGTTCATGTAAGTGCATGCATGCAAAGAGAGCAATGAAGCAGTTCCATAGTGTTTGGTGAAAAATAAAAACGAAAACCCACTAAGTACATGCATAAATTTATTAAAATTTTTCGTGATTTATTGCCGATTGCGTGTGCAGGCCGCCGACACGCTCATTTGCCACTTCGTCGAATTTGTGGGTGCTTTCCAAAGATGCGAAAAGCGTGAATGCTGCTCTGTGCCAATGTGCTGAAATACATATTACGAGGGTTGCTGCTAATTATGTTTCTGGCCTTAAACACTTTTCTAGTGCAGTCAGGCGCCATCTGACGTTTCCGTTGGAAGGTTTGACATATTTACCCATAAGCACACTCAGAACGTCTTCATGTGCGTTGTTTACAGTGGCTTTAAAAACTCATCTCGGCATAAAAATGGAATTAAATCGTGAACTTTTCGTGTCGTTATTTTTAACAAAATTCGACGTAGATTAACAAGACAAGAATACATCGCTAAACTAAAATCGTTTAACACGATAAAAAACTGGTGCATTGAATTTTCTTGTTGCCGCTGTTCGCTCGCCGACGAACTCCGTGGAAGTCATCCAAAATCAGAGGTTGTGCCAGAAACAAAACAATGCTGTGCGCGTGCGAAATGATTGCGCAAGATCGTCATGTCACATACCGTGAGACTGAGCCATCCGTGGGCATAAATATGGCGAACATTAATAAGGTTTTTCATGATCCCCTGGTGGTAAAAAAGATGTGTTCGCGTTGGATTTTACACAACTTAAAAAAAAATCCCAAAAAGAGGCTCGTGTCGATTAGTGTAAAAAAATGCTGAAACGAATGCAAAAGAGTATTAATCATCATGGAGATATTTTTGAAAAACAATAATCCACCGATGTTCACTGCTTCATTGTTAGACCAGAAATATAAATAGCAACCCTCGTATTAAGTTAAATTGTCTTCAATATTTTCTTTTGCACATATCTAAGCATTCGACAATTGACTATTTTCAATGAAAACGATCTGAAAATTTGTTATTTTATAAATTTACTAGTCACAAAACCAATTTAATGTAATATCCCCTTTTGAAAGGGCCCTTTGTCCCATGGAAAAAGCTGTCTTTTCACAGACATCGCCCAAAAATGGATTGAAAACATCCGCCAAAGCAAAATATCGGCTGCAGAGTTAATTTGAATAAAAAAAATTCTGATAGAAAAAACTTGCTACAACCCTTTTGCCGCCTGTTAGAAAAGTCCAATTTAATTAAATTATCTAATATTTTTGAGGTGATTGAATGTGGTTGCACTAGTTAAAAAAGTTAAATTCCGCATGAGTTAAGGGAATTAGGTTACATAAATAGCAGGTATCAGACGAAACAGCTTTAAGAGGGTTGTAGTTTTAAAATATTTTGAGGACGGTTGCCACCTATTTGAAAAATCAAATTAAATATATGTATGTGTAAGAAATATTAAAATATGGGAGTCAAAATGAGTGTTAAGAAATCTGTAGTTTGAACAACAAAAATATTTTTAAGAGGGTTGCCATCTGTTTAAAAAGTTAAATTCAAACTATTTAAAAAGTTGACTGAACTATTACAATATGGGTATCAATCGAAATGGTTTTGAAAATGCCTATTTTAAAAAGTCAAATTCAACTTTAATTAAGGGAAAAAGTTGGTAGAAAGGGGTGGCAGACGAAGGCGGATTTAGCTTGAAAATATTTTGACGAGGGTTAGGAAAAAAGAAAATTGGGAAAATCTCCTATGTTGAGTTTTTTAACTTTTTGTTCAAATTTTTTGAATTGATTTTTAATAATCAATACATTACGCATTTTTTTCACACAAAAAAAAAAAAATTCAACAATTTGATCAAAATGTTGTGGACTTAATTAGCTGATCACAAGTGTACATATCGTTAACCCAATATAAAATGGCACTAACTCATTTTCTTTTGCACTTTCTTTTCTGTACAATAGTCGATTGATTACTCACTAAAGACTAAATCGAATTTAAAATCAACTACTATATCAAAAAATTTAGCTTCTCTACTTATTAAAACCAGCGTAATCAGGAAACTCGCATCTGAAAAACTATAGTTTTTTTTTTAAATTTGTATGCCTATTTACGCTGTAAAGAAACAAAAATGTTAGATAAGTAGGTACATAAATATGCGGTATACAATTTTTTATTCTTCTTTGTACATATTTCGAGGACTGACCTTGGGTTTGCCTATTTTTTTTTTTTGCTCTTGTGGTAACTTGTTTTTTTTTGTAAGTTTGCTTTAGCTTTGAAAAGGTCGATATACATATATGTACGCATTTTATTTCCTATTTGTTTTTACTTTCCTAAATATGATTGTTTTATTTAACCTTATTAGCATAAATGGCATAATTTGCTTGATATGAGATATTCGTGTTGTAGGTTGCATTTATAAATACATAACAGCAGAAAATTCGCAAAAACTTACCAGTGATTTTTTAGATTTTTTTTTTGTGGAGAGTGTTTTGCATTGTTTTCCCTATAAAAATAATTAAAATAATTTTGTTCACGCGTTATATGGAAGATATGCTCAGCAGTTTCGACAAAAAAAACATTCTACAAAATCAGCGAACATTTTTTCGACTTCAAATTTGCACTTTATTATACCAAAATTTAATGGGCTACAAAACTGCATACACAAACTGTTTGTAAGAAATCTAATTAAAAACAAATTTTTATTTTTTGAAGTTTGTATAGTTTTTGTGAGTTGTTGTCAACAAAATCATCTTACAGCAAATCATACATACAGTCAGCGTCGAAAATATGAATACCCTGACGTTTCGTTATTTTCTATTTTCCATACCAAATTTTTATTATTTTTTTATAAAAATATAGTTAGTTCAACAGCAAAAATCAGCATTATCAGTTTTTTCAATTTCATATAGAACTCGAGAAAATTGCAGAAATACCAAAACGTGGTCATACAATTTTCAACTATTAATTTCTTAGAAAACTTTTGGGTATGCAGTTTTGTATACCATTAAGGTTTAGTATAATAAGGTGCAAGTTTCAAGTCTATAAAAATTACTATTGATTTTTGAGAATTTTTTGTCGAGGGTTTTTGCATTTTCTTCCATATACAAATAGATTTTGTTCGTTTGTATAACTACGGCCGCTGTGGTGTAGTGGTTAGCTGCGCATTACCATTTCGCAGGTTTCAAGCCCAGTTCAACCCGACATAAAAAAAAATAAAAAATAAAAAAGTTTTTGTCTAATCGGCACGTCCTAGTATATTCAAAACTCGGTCAGTTTTTTCAGTCGGAACTTTTTTTAGAAGTGAACAACTTGCGTAAATTTTATCGATTTTCTTAGCCTAATACCAAATGACTTATTTTTTCAGAAGTATATTTTTTACTAGTTGAAATTCTACCAACAAATTAGGAAAGTGGATTTCAATCAGTACTTGGTTTTTTTGTCACGTGCATATGTAGGCCGAAAAAAAAATATTGCCTCAAAGCATTTTCCCCAATACATCCAAATTTTTGGTTTCTCTGTTTTACCCCAGATTTTTTTTTTTCTTAATACAGCTTATACTGCAAAAAACATGAAAATAAAATTTCTGAAGTTTGTGCAAAACTCAGAAAAATTTAATTAACTTCCACACAAATTTGCAACTTTCTAATCAGATTTTTTTATAAAAAATTTGTAAGACATGGTTATTTAATTTTCAATTGCAATTTTTTTTTATTTTTATTTTTCCGCAATAGTTTATTCTACGACAAAAACATAAAAATTAGACATTTAAACGTTGTGAAAAACTCAGGAATAATTTTATGAACTTGCAACTTTCTAATCGGAAAAATTTTTAAGATGCGGTTTTGTAGCCAATTAAATTTTTGTATAATAAAGTGCAAGTTTGAAGCTGTATGTATGAAAATATAAACTTCTTCTTCTTTTTTGGCGCTGTAACCGCCTAAGCGATTTTGGCCGAGTTCAGCAAAGCACGCCAGTCGTTTCTCCTCTGTGCCAACTGACGCCAATTGGAAACGCCAAGTGAAGCCAAGTCCTTCTCCACCTGATCTTTCCATCGCAGTGGGGGCCTCCCTCTTCCTCTGCTACCACCAGCGGGTTCCGAGTTGAAAATATAAACACCGTCAGCAAAAAAACAAACGCTTTGATTTGCGCTTTATTATACTAATTAAATTTAATGCGCAACAAAACTGCATACTCAAAAAAAAAAAATGCACTTGAAAGTTGAAAATTTGTTAGCAAATTTATTGAAAATTTCTTAGTTTTGCACAGAATTTAAAAACTTTATTTTTATGGTTCTGGTCGTAGAATAACTTATATTTTTATAAAAAACTAGCGGAAAAATGTATGTGAATAAAAAATTGTGCATACTTTGTGCGGCCAGTACTTTTTTCTGGCAGTGCATATATATGTACATATGTAGGTAATGTATGTATGTATATGAGTCTACTTTTGTAAACATCTGCCACCTGTCGCATTATAAAATATTAAAGTACTCAACAAAAGTGCATTTTCCCCAATGTACGAGCACAACACGCAATCTGTTGTCCTCAAGAACAAGTACACTGGCACAAATAAATATATGTATGTATATGTAGGTACATAATTTATGTATGTGAGTGTATAATCACAGCCTAATCGATATGAAAAGAGAATTCCTTTGCCTTTTACAGTACAGCAACATCCTTCAGTGGTATTCCGGCCGGCAAAAAAAGCGTTGGCATTTTATGAAAAAGACTCAATCAAATTAAAAAACAATATACCTATGTACACATACATATATGTATGTATGTAATTGCATATTTCACATTTTACAGTGGTTTTTACAAACTAATTTACATTGAAACGCTAATTCGTTATAATTTATAATCGTTATCAAAAATAGTGCATGCAATCTTACGATAGAAATTTTCATTCGACAAATATTTGAATACGTGTGTGTATGTATGAACATTCATGTAAATAGTTACATTTGCGCATAGGTGAAATATATATAAAAATGTATAGATCGCATTAGCTGCAATGTTTATTCCATTACAACGCCTTCGAAACGCAACAACGGGTTGAATGTGCCGCGCCATCCACGAATTTAGTTATTAAAAAATATACACATATTTATAACTGGCTCAGGAGCTGTTTCGAAAAAAAAATGTTTACATTTGGCGCGAAAAAATATTTGCCATTGCTGTGCTTGCTTTTGTGTGCACTTTGCGGATTTTTTACCGATGCCGTTGCGAAACCGACGATCGCCTTCAACCTGCCACAAAGTTTTCAGGGATTTCCATCATTCGCCTCTTTTACTCAGCAATACTTCGAAAGTCGCAATTTGCGGCAGATGAAAACGTATAGGTAAGTAAATAAATCAAACAAACAAAAAAAAAACAACCACCGATTTTAATGCTCGTATAAAAATTTAGGATTACCGTTAGTTTTTTCATGATACAATGATCAGAACTAAACCAGGTTAGGTTACGGTGGTTGCCACTCCGCACAGACCGGCAAAGAGACACTAGAGAACTAAACTAAGAGTTATCAGAAAGGGTTAACGTGGTCCAAAGTAATCCGGTAACATACATAAAAAAAAATATTCCGACGAATTGATGACCTCCTCCTTTTTTGACGTCGGTTAAAAAGTAAAGAAGTATTTTAATACAGACCTTTGGTAATCTATCAAGTTATTTAGGTACACAATATACACTCGGAAAAGGCAATCTCGCTCCAATCTCTAGAAAACGGCTTTAAGTCCACAGTTTTAATGAGCTATTGTTAACCGATACAGCTATGATAAGGAGGAGAAGTGGTAGCGGTAACTTCTGCATAGTTAACTAAAAAATTATTTTTCTTGTAGCAAAAGTAAATGTTTTTAAAACCACTTTATTTTTATCAGCAGAACAACTTTGTTTAAATTTTCAGTATTTTTTGGAACCAAGGTAACGATAAGTTACATAAGTGAAAATTTGTGCTAAATGTTAAGTTTGTCATTGTAACGCTTTCTTGCGAAGTTTAGCTAGGGCAACGGAATACCTTATATACTTACAAACATACGTACAACTTTCAGGAATAAATTTTATACAATTGACAGAGTGTTTACATATATTAAAATATGTAATATGGATTTTAAGAAAAGCTGCTCTAGTTCTACAACTTAACTTTTGTTTGTGTTTTTGGTTTCTTTACATATTTCTGTACATATTTACATACATAATTTCATTCCACACTCACATTTCCATATTGCATGCACTTCAGCAAGTAGAGTTCCAAACCTTATGCAAAATTTAAGAAATTTCTGCAAATTTTCATCCAAATATTGTGCTTTTTATTTACACTCTTTAGAAAAAAGTTGAGTACGCAGTTTTTTAGCTCATTCAATTTTAATATAACAACGTGAAAGTTTGGGGCAGCTAGGACTTACCATTGATTTTTAGCAATTTTTTCTTCATATAAAATAATGTTCGATAATTCTTTTATATGGAAAAAATGTGCGACACCTTCAACAAAAAATTTGCCAAAAATCAATGGTAAGTCCTAACTTGCTCATACTTGCACTTTATTATACTAAAATTGAGTGGGCTAAAAAACTGCATACTCAACTTTTTTTTAGAGAGCGTAAGTAAAAAGTGCAATATTTGAATGCAATTTTGCAGAATTTTATTTAATTTTACACAAGCTTTGGAAGTCTGATTTTTATAAAAAATTTGCGAAAAATAAAATATTAAAAAAAAAAATAGTTGCCCGTATTGTAAAAAATTCGCTGTACCTAAACTTTATTGCTTGACTGTATATGTGTATACATATATGCATACACACTTAGCATCCATTCCATTTAATCTAAAAAATATGCTGATAAGACATCACGGCAATTAATTAAAAATTATATAACTAATGCAAATACATATATACATATGTACACATTTTTTATTTGCAGCGGAAAACGGCTAACTAATGAGTCGTTAATAATGATTTACTATCACGACTCCACCATTGCGGTTACCGAGTTAGGACCAGAGAAACTGTTGTTGGGTTGCGAATTGATAGAGATTTAGTAAGTATTAATTATGTATGTACGTATTTAAATTTTTGATATGAAAAACTTTTGGTCAAATTATTTTGGTATAAAATCAATTTAAATCTAGTTCATCTCAAATTTTACAGGGGAAAAGAAAAACTTCCAAAACTCAAATATTTTGCAAAAAGGTGATAGCAATACTATTTTTGTGTATTCAAAGCGAAACATAACTCCATACGAATCGGTAGTGCACCCTAATTAAGTTTTGTTTTATTTTCAAATAGTGTGACGCTTAAAGTGTAAATTTAAGTGGAAATATTAGTTTTCCCAAAAACTTTAGATACGTAGTTAACGCAGAATTGGGACGATACACCCGGTGTCGAAATTATAAGCGCACCACGTATTGACAAATTTTAAAATTTTTTTATGTTATTTAATTTCAGTTGATTCTTTTATTAAAATTTAGTTTAATCTTTAACGAAGCTCATATAAATGAAAGTTTCAAGCTTTGTGACATATTAAAAAAAAAAACAATGGGCTTTCGTAAAAACTTTAAGCTTTTTAATTAAATTTCTTAGAAAGATTTTGTGCTGTTTTGTAGCGAATGCAGTTTTAATATAATAAAGAGCAAGTTCGAAGTAGCTAGGACTTACCGTAGATTTTTAGTTTTTTTTTTTTTTGAACATATCAACGGCTGCGGGGACGATCTTGAAGAAACTTGTTGAAGAATACCGTATCTCAGCAGATGGTTCAATAACGCGCTATCTCAACTGCACTTTATTATATACAATTTTATACTCAAAATGTTTCTAAGAAATCTCAGTTTGTTAATTTTTTTGACAAAGTTTGAAACTTGGATTTATACGAGTTTCGTTAAAAAAAAAGATAAAATTAAATACCACAAAAAATTAAACTTTTCAATATGTGCTTATAATTTTGACGGCGCTAACATGGTAGTTTAAATCGCATAGTTTAATTTTTTTATCTCATCGCGGAACAACCAGAATTAAAAAAATAAAATGATTTTTAAAGGTGAAACAGTGCAGTTACTTTAAGGTAAAATTTGTACCAATATTCGAAAAAATTTATTCTCGAAATTTTCAAAAAAGGCCATTTTCACATCTTTAGTTTGGAATATCTCATAAACCTTGCATACCGGAGTACTTCTGAATTCTGCGCAAAAAAAGTGGGTAGGAAATAGATGCTTCAGGTTTTGGGTCCAGGATTTTCCAAAATTTTCTCGACCTGTTTATTCAACTGATATCCCTAATAGAAGAAGTCAAGTCAGAAGGCATTATTTTTTAAGGGGTTTGTATTAAATTATATAAAATATTTTCTTAAGGAAATTATTATCTGAATATACTTGTTTAAGGTTTCAACGAGTCGAGAGTCTAGCTGAGTAGTCAAAAATTGCATACTTATAATTTTAAATTGACGTTCAAAATCTTGCCTTAGGGTTGAAAATCCCATTTCCGATACGTTGTTAACTTAACTTAAATTAGATATTGTTTTCAGAGAAACAAGAAGTAAAAATATAGTAATCTATCACATCCGCCCATAGTCTTCTAAGATTTCTAAAATTAATTTTTGGAAATAGGGGATATTCTGCTGAGATTTTTTTTTTGCGAATTTATCAATTCCAATTTCCAATTTAAACCACATTTAACAAGCATTTCCATGTACAATACATATTCTATGTATATTCTCTCGCTTTGATTCTTCCAACTAGCAATGAAAAGGATGGTAAAGCTCTACTCGAAGGACTTTCCAAATACAATCGGCCACTGCGAATAACTTTCGATGAAATGTTGAAGTTAATGAACCAATGTGAACGTGTCGATAAACTTACGTACGCCTCACGGAATCGAGCCAAAGCCATAGATGTCAATACGAATAACGATAGCTCAGCAAATAATAATAATAATGGTGTTACCAATTTGGCAGCAAATATATTTCCGAAAAGTCCATTTTCATTGTTGAGCGGCATAATACCGGGTAAGTAGGCACGACGTATGCAACAGCACGCACAAGGTATTGCATAATAATTGTATGTGTACTACTTTAGGGTGGCCCAAAATACTTTATCCAGTCACGCCAGTGGTATAGAATATTGTAAATATTTTTTTTTTTGAAATTGGTTAATATTTCTGAGTCCGCCAGAGCTCTGAATATTCCACTGTATTTTATATGAAGAAAATGCATTTTTTCGTAGAATTGCTTTAAATTCGATATTTTTTTTATCGAATAAGAATATTTCTCTTCAGACAACTTCGAAAAATAAGGTTATGATGCATATTTAACTATGCAAATTTATTAACTATGTTTACATTGCCGATAATCTTTTTTCTTATATACAAAATTTATTTAACCCCTCATACGAAGAGCTCAACGAATCTGTTAATTTTTTTTCTTATATAACGAGCCCTAACCGCCAAAAAATGTAAGCGACATTTTCTTCAAAATTTTATTTTTGATGCAGAGAGAATATTTTGAAAAAATGTAGCTTACATCTTTTTGGCGGATAGGGCTCGATATGCTTCATAATTCTATTTGAAAATTTCTCAAAAGAAATATTCTTATTTTTTTATAGTTTTTATAGCAAATGTATAAAAAAAAATTATTCTCTCCGAGTAAACTGCTTGCATTAAATATTAACGGATTTCAAAATAAAAAAATAAATGTTTATTTTTATAACATTTTCTATAATTATGGAGGGCGGCAGCAGAAAAATGCCATAAGATTGATTTTCCCGTGTTTTTTTTTTTTGGACCAGCCTAATATACACAGGTATATATCGCACACGATCTTCAAAAGTGACACAAATCAAAATTTGCCGTTTTTGAAATTATGCGCTAAAGATGAAAGACAGAGCTTTTATTTGCCTTTCAGCAAAAGCTGGAGCAATTTTTTGCTTATAATTTGTTGAAAAAACCTAAGATAAAATCTCCCTTGCCGCTTGATTAGCATGTTCTGACGAACGTCTAATTTTGAGTTTTGTCACGTTTGCAGATTGTGTGCCATAAAGCGTTTGCTTGTAAACTCCTCATTGTATTCATTTAAGTTTTAAATACATATCTAATTTATTCTTACTTAAAATCGATGTTAATGTTTATTGAATGGAATTTTGATTTTAATATTCAATAGGCACAAAATGGTGCGGCACTGGCGACATTGCGGAAACTTATAGTGATTTAGGCACCGACATGGATATGGATCGATGTTGTCGACTGCACGACTTATGCCCCGTGAAAATACGTGCCTATCAAAATAAATACGAACTGATGAATGATTCCTTGTACACAAAGTAAGTAATATGTATATATGTATGTATATGCTTAGTATGCACTACTACTATGATCTACAACGCCCCGTAGAAAAGTTCGACCGGTTTTCAAAATTTTTCGCATGACACGGTTTTATGACCACACGAACTTGTCTAGGATGTCTTGCTTTTTAGCTTAAAAAAAAAATCTTCATAGAAATAAGGCGCACACTAATGTACGGTACATGCATGCATACATATTTGCATCTATATTTACGATTCGTTACTGTGCCAATGACACTGCACCTTTTCATTTAACAAACTACTCGCCAACTGCTAAACTAATTGGCAAATGTTGTCCTTTCTAGTTGCGTGCTTTTATTCATAATTTTTACATTCAATTTAATTATCGCACACTAATTTTTAATTGCAATCAACTTTACAGATCTCATTGTATATGCGACGATATGTTATATTCCTGTCTCAAAAAAGCCAACACACCAGCGTCGCAACTTATGGGATCGATTTACTTCAATTTGGTGCGAGTGCCTTGCTTGGCTGGCAGCAATGATAAATATCGTTTTCGAGAGGCCAAAGAAGGATTCTAGTAGAGCGATGAAGTGGGCCATCTGATAAAATATATGTATGTACATGTGTACTTATGTATGTACAAATACAAAGAAAGACAATTGCGAAATGTTGGAATTACTTAGTCAAAGTTATGTAAAATATTGTATTTAGTTTTTGTACTAAAAGCAATTTGTTTTATTAAGTTTTTTTTTGTTATGTATTATTTTCGGTAGTACTTAAGGATCAACGTTAAACAAAAATAAAAATTTTATATTTATTTATTCTTTTTTAAAGGAGACATGTTTGAATTATTGAATACCGTGTGGGTAAGAGAATCATTCCTCAAGGTATCAGATTGCGATTGAAATCGTGTGTTCACCACATATGTGCTCATTTTTTTTTTAATTTAAGAAAGTTTTCTACAAATTCGATGGTAAGTTGTACCTAATTAAAGGCAATAGCGTAAATAGGGGGTGGGGTTTGATTTAAGGCTATATGACCCTCTTATTTCGGTTACTCTATGTGGATCTGTGGAGAGCGATCGCCGAGGATGACGTGCCTTCTTACAACGAGGCGCCTTATCAAGATTCGTTATGAAACATACCCTTTGATTCCACGATGGAATCCGAAGAGAAACAGCTTTGAAAGCAAATATGTACCTGCGTTTCGTCGTTAAGGTGATGTTCCTAGGAAATGAGGTAGTAGCATGCAGCCGTATTTAGGACCATGTTCGCACAAGTCTGCAGATATTTCCAATGTGTATCGTGGAGCAGCGTAGAGTAGAATTTGTTTTCAGTGACTCGAAGCTCATTAATAATGGTATAGATATACGGGAAAACGCAAATGACAAATAGTAAGCAAAAGATGCCACACGTACGTCTGGTACGTAGTCCAACCACTTTGGTTGGTACCGAGGGCAAACTTTAGGCATTCTTACAACGGAGATGCATCACACCTTTTTCTGTTTATTGAAATAGCAAGCGTATCTTTTATAATTGTCGTTATTTATTGCACAAATTAGTACATATATAAGTAAAAATTTTACCTGCCGCAACACACGCCTTATACCATAACAATTCATACGTATTTATTCAAAGTATATCAAATATAAAATATGTGTGTAAATAAGTAAGCCCATAGTTAGTTAAGTGGAGTAACCCGCTTTTTTTATTTTTGATTTTAGTGCTTTGATTAAGGAATTATAAATAATACCAACAATGCTTACTTTTTGCTTGTTATTCATTGGCTAATTTTAGTTTTGAAAAAATTTTACTCCATTTATTTTACAAGTCTTCAAGAGCACTATTGATTTAGTTGGTGGGCGGATACCACTGCTTTAAAAACATCGCAATTGTAAATATGTGTAGTTCTCCAAGATTTCGATGAATCTTTTGATTGTGATTTTTTTGGTGATCGTTTATAACTAGGTACATATTTTATAAATTATAAAAGGCTCTATTGAAAATATATTGAATTTTTTCTTAAAAAAAAAAAAAATTATCCATCTCCTGTTGAGGTCAATTTTTGAACGAATTTAAAATTGTAACAATTATTTGCACAAATTAAAGTTATGAAGTGATAAAAAAAATATAGTCGTTCGGCGAAAAGTTACTGAGCACAGTGGAGCATATAAAATCTCCTGAAGAGTATAATAAACTAAATAATTTTTTGCACTTAAAATATGCAATAACTTGTTTACTAATGAATTCAAATTTTAAAAGGGAATATAACTGGTTATGTTTTGCATGCCAACGTACAGGTAAATCTGTTAATACGCTTCTTTGATGGTTTGAAAGTTTTATTATGTTATAAATCGTTTAAATGACGTTTCAAGGTATAAGCGTTTAATAAGAATACCCAAAAAAAAAATAAACAAAGGGGTTATGTTGTGTTCATGTGGAATAGTAGCTTATGTCGGGAAGCTGGCATTCGCTTTATTCTTTAAACGACAAGGAATTTTTTGACAAGACTTAATAAGAGTATTGACTTGCTAGTATCGGAACTATTTCTGCACGCTTATTTGCCAAAAGTTCTTCAACGGCTCGGCGCGCCAGTAAGTCATTCGCAATCGCATGCTGAGAATGCCGCATTATACTAAAGCCAGCCTTTCGACATAAGCCACTGTTCCATACGAACACATATGTTAAGAATTACAATTCAATATGAGACCTCGTAGAGATTCGAATACAACTGCAGAATAAACTTTTGTGCAGACTTTTCTAAGATGAAGTGACTAAACCTTTACTTGTATTTGACCTTGGCTTGCACATAGAGGCACAGATGCAAAAAATAATTTGTAGAAGATGTCGAGCTCAAGTAGAGTATGCCATAATGATTTATCTTTTGAAATGGAAGTATGTAGATTTTACACTAACACTAAATCTTTTTGGAGCTACCTTTTTCGATAACATTAATGTTTTAAATAAATGGTCTAAAACCAATGAGACGGGAACATCATGTTGTCATAGTGTGCACGCTATACACTGGAAACGTATCACCGACTTTCTATCGCATTTTTATACTCTATGCTGGTTTTCTTTCCAAATTCTTAAAAGATACTAGCAACATTGGGTCCAGGCTGAGAGTTGGTTGGAGTAGGCTGTGTTGGTCGATCTATGTCCTGGTAAGTGCGCTGTTGTGTGGTGGGAAAAACGGAGCCGGTTTGTAGACTGCCGCCACGCGCACTAAACTCTCTGTATAGTAGTATAACAGTGATGGGGCGTAGAACCAAGTTGATAATAGAGAAAGCAACCGCCCAGCCATCTGAAAATTTGAGAAATAGATTTTTAGAAGAAGTCCTTAATTTAAAAGGGCAATCAAATTGTTGAACTAAAAATTCACAATAAATATTTATACAACTTACTCATAAAATTGAAATATACTATTATGCATATCAAATCAAAGAATATACTTGAAGCGTTTATAACGAGCGCCTGTAAGTAAACGAAAGGAAAAAAAGTACAATGAAAGAGGGACATATGTATGAATGAGGTAATTAATAACGCATTTTATACTATAGATGAATAGATATACATAGAAACCCCAAATAAATATCTTTAAAATATATTATACTAACAGTAAAAATATTTACTGTGACGATAGCAAACAAAAAATGGTTGGCGGCAAATTGTATACATATGTACAGTGAATCCGTTGAAACTCCAGCGTTAAAAATATATTAGGATGTATGTACATAAGAACATTGTAAGAACGTTGTGAAAATATGTGCTAGCAAATATTTATGTTCATATGTATACATACATACATATTGTAAACTTAGCCTATTCCGAAATAACTCCGGGATTACCCGCAAAGAAACAGAATACTAATGCCAAAGTGTAATACAATGAACCAGATATGAATGAAATTCTTCTTTGTTCTCTTTGAGATTTGAACTCTTTCGCAGTAGATATTTCGAGGAGCAAAAAGCCCTTCCAAAAGGCCACATTTTTCAGCCTTTCCTTGGTAAACCTTCTCGAATGGCTTCAAATATGAAGGCCTACCAAATTATCATCTGGGAGACTAACGTGTATATGGAATTTTGTTGCTTAGGTGCTGGAATAAAAATTTGGCAAACAAAGCATTTAGAGAAGAAATATTTTATAAAAGTTCTCAAACTACAAACTTCCGCTACTATCAATGGCAATTGCATATGATACATAATTATGTATGGCGAAATCAGATAAGAAAGGTGCACATGAAAGATAAGCTGACTTCCAAAACGTACCAATACAACGTTTGGATACGGTTCTACTGCGGTATTTTAACTGGTTACATATGCAGAGTTGCAAAACATTGCAACCATATACATTGCATATTTTGAATATTTAATAAAACAATGATCACCATTTCGGAATTTTCCATTTTTAAAATACCAATGGTAACCAAAAACAAACGAAGCATCAACTTTGTTTATGATGCGCTGATTACTCTAGTGATGCGTTTCAATAACTTTTCGGGTGCGGTTTGGAAAAGAATACGTTAATACACTAGATATGTCTGTTTTGGCAAAAACGCTTCATTCTAAAAGACTAAACACTACTAATGTCAAGAAAAAGAGAAGTAAAAAAAGTGTTGATTTGATTATATTAATTATGCGAAGAGTGGGTAAGTTAGAGGCCAAGCGACGATGACGTCGCGTTCTTTGCTAATTTTGTAGCAAGAGTATATATACACATGTATGTATGTGTGTACATACATACATACATATGAACATTAATACATATTATATGTATTTATTTATTATACCACGTCACTACCTTTGCATGTGAAATTCTAAGCCGAAGAGCACTTTTGCGCACTGTAGTCGATATCAAACATTCCTGGTACATACATATGTATGTATGTATGTTTTTCAAAAAAATGCTGTTGTAGCCAAATTTGCAAACTTTACTTTCTGAGGTAGTGCGCTTTAATGGGGGGTGGAAACTGTACGTAGTTTGGAGATGCATACATTTGTACGTACTGGCTTAGCTTCATTAATTTGAAAAAAAGGTCAACTCTGACACTTGGCATGCAACATTTCTAATTTTCTTCACAGTTGGGGGCAGTAACAGTGTATAAGGATTTTTATTACCACCTTTCGAAAGCAAAGAGTGTACAGCACGCAATGTTAGCCATTTTCTTACGATTTTATTAGCATGCTTATACAGTCTATTCCGCTTAGTTTTGTATGATGTCGTTTTCTTCAATCTTTAATTTATATTTGGGGAGTATCTAATCAAAAAATTATATTTTGATTTCCGGCATTTTTTAGTTTTTGGTTTAATATTATCGCCAACATGAGCTACTTCTAAAAACTGCTTATTACACTTCAAAACGTGTGTTTGATATATACATATTTTTTAAAACTAATCAAGATTTGCAATCAGCGACAAATCATAACATGTCTCATTTTTAGGTTGGCGTATCTGCGTTTTTTGGCCTTTCCGTTGAATAACCTATTGTGGCAATTCCTTTTTTGATTAGAACTCACTCCCCTTTTATCTGCCAACTTCATTTTGAACAGATCACTTAGGTCTACGCCTAATGTTTCGCAGTCAATCGTATTATGATTTACTTCAAATTTTTGCAGCTTTCTCAATTCGCTGGATCATTATTTGCTGTGAATCGCTTCTTTAAGTTCCGCGATATTTTTACTAAAACCATTTGCAATTAAGAAAGCGGAGTTGACTGTAGTACCCCTTACACCGTCTGCGCTTTATATATTTGTGGTAGGGTTAGGTGAGGAAGTGCTACCACCGAAATATATTTTCGCACCATGAATGTGGTCACTGGCGGGGAGCAACCGAAC